TTTCTCTCCAAAAAAATTCTCCCCTTTTTTCCCTCCTCAAAAATCCTCCCGTTTCTCTCTCCAAAAATCTCACACTTCCTTTTTTCTCCAAAAAAAATCTCACGTTTCTCTCTCCAAAATTGTCTCCTTTTTTTCTCCAAAATTGTCTCTCTTTTTTCTCCAAAATTGTCTCCTTTTTTTCTCCAAAATTGTCTCCTTTTTTTCTCCAAAATTGTCTCTCTTTTTTCTCCAAAATTGTCTCTTTTTTCTCCAAAATTCTCCCACTTCCCCAATTTCAAAATTTAAAAAACCCCCAAAACCAAATAATTTATTTCTTTTTTAAAAATTAAATTAAAAAACCCCCCAAAACCCAATTTTTTTCCCTTTCCCACACCATTTTATATCTATCCCCCCTTCCCTGTGATGAGTTTTAACCCTTCCCTCTCCCCTCAGAGGTCCAGTTCCGCCCCTACCGCACCGACGACTTCATCACCCGCCTCTACTACGAGACCCCTCGCTTGACCGTCCTCAACCAAACGTGGGTGTTGAAAGCTCGAGTCAACGACTCGGAACGGAACCCCAACCTCTCCTGCAAGAGAACCCTCTCCTTCCAACTCATCCTCAAGAGCAAAATCAACTCCCCCATGGAATGTTCCTTCCTCCTCCTCGAGGGACCTTACGACGACGTCAAGATCCATCCCGTCATCTACCACTTTGTCTTCAGCAACGAGAACAACGAGACGGATTACATGGCCCTGCCCATCCTCGACTCCGTGGAGTGTAACAAACTCTTGGCCGCTAAAAATATCAACCTCCGCCTTTTTCTATTCCAGATTCAGAAATAACGGGGGTGGGCAGGGGTGGGGGATGTGAGGAAATGAGGAAAAACACCGCGATAAAGGACAAAAGGACACGGTAAAGGACAAAAAAAACTCAACAGAGGACAAAGAAACTCAACAAATGACAAAAAACTCAACGAAAAACCCAACAGATGACAAAAAAACCCAACAAATGACAAAAAAACTCAACAAATGACAAAATAACCCAACAAAAAACCTGACACATGACCAAAAAAAACCAACAAATGACAAAGAAACGTGACAAATGACAAAAAAACCCAACAAAAAACCTGACAAATGACCCAAAAAACCCAACAAATGACAAAAAAACTCAACAGAGGACAAAAAAACCCAACAAAGAACCCGACAAAAAACCTGACAAATGACCCAAAAAACCCAACAAATGACAAAATAACTCAACAGATGACAAAAAAACCCAACAAAAAACCTGACAAATGACAAAAATGTGACAAATGACAAAAAAAAATCAACAGATGACATAAAAACCCAACAAAAAACCTGACAAATGACAAAAGAACCCGACAAAAAACCTGACAAATGACCAAAAACCCGCCAAATGCCAGAAAAACCCAACAGATAATAAAAAAGCCCCCAAAGCCCCAACAAATGACAAAAAAGCCCCCGACAAATGGCAAAAAAACCCAACAAAACCCAACAAATGACAAAAAAACCGCAACAAATGACAAAAAATCCCCCAAAATCCCCAACAAATGACAAAAAAACCCAACAAAAGACAAAAAACCATGACAAAGACACGTGACCAATGACAACAACAACCCGACAAATGACAAAAGAACCTGACAGACAACAAAAAAACCCAACAAAAAACCCAACAAATGACCAAAAAAACACAACAAATGACAAAAGACCCAACAACAAACCACAAAAAACCCCAACAAACGACAAAAAAACCCAACAAAAAACCCGACAAATGACAAAAAAACCCCTGACAGATGACAAATAGCCCCAAAAAAACCCGACAGCCAACAAAGAAACCCAAAAAAACCCAACAGACTACAAAAAACCCCAACAAATGATAAAAAAAACCCCAACAAACCCCAACAAATGCCAAAAAACCCCAACAAAACTCCCGATGAACGACAAAAAACCCAACAAATGACAAAAAAAACACCAAAAAACCCAACAAATGACAAAAAAAACCAAAAAAACCCAACAAATGACAAAAAAACCCCCAAAAAACCCAACAAATGACAAAAAAACCCCAAAAAAACCCAACAAATGACCAAAAAAACCCAACAAATGATAAAAAAACCCCAACAAATGACAAAAAACCCCAACAAAACTCCCGATGAATGACAAAAAACCCAACAAATGACAAAAAAAACCCAAAAAAACCCAACAAATGACAAAAAAACCCCCCAAAAAAACCAACAAATGACAAAAAGTCCCCAACAAATGACAAGAAATCCCCAAAAATCCCCAACAAATGACAAAAAAACCCAGCAAATGACAAAAAAACCCAACAAAACCCAACAGCTGACAACAAAACTCAACAAATGACAAAAAAGCCTGACAATCGACAAAAAAACCCGACAAAAATCCCAACAAACGACAAAAAAAAAAATGACAAATGACAAAAAACCCCCCAAAATGACCAACAAACCCTGACAAACGACAAAAACAACACAACAAATGACAAAAAACCTCAACAAAACCCAACAGCTGACAAAAAAAACTCAACAAATGACAAAAAAACCTGACAAATGACAAAAAAACCCAACAAACGATAAAAAAACCTGACAAAATCCCAACAAATGACAAAAAAAACCCAACAAATGACAAAAAAACCCCCAAAAAACCCGACAAATGACAAAAAACCCCCCAAAAAACCCGACAAATGACAAAAAAACCAACAAATGACAAAAAAACCCCCAAAAAACCTGACAAACGACCAAAAAAACCCGACAAACGACAAAAAAAATGCCAATAAATGGCAAAAAAACCCAACAAATGACAAAAAAACTCCAACAAAACCCAACAGATGACAAAAAAAACCCCCCAAAAACCTGACAAACGACAAAAAACCACAACAAAGGACAAAAAAAACCTGACAAACGACAAAAAAAACTCAACAAAACCCAACAAATGACAAAAAACCAACAAAAAAACTCAACAAATAACAAAAAAAACAACAAAAAAACTCAACAAACGACAAAAAAACAACAAACAACAAAAAAATGTCGCCCGGAACCCACCGGACCTTCATCTCCCGCCGCTCGTGACACCTCGGAA